AGAGACAACACACATGCCTACTATAACTACAGTTAAACGGTCACTTAAAAATCCGTGAAATCGATTTCTAATTATTTTTAAAAAGCAATTCATTGTCGTCACGCTTGTGCTCACAGATATCTCGCTAGATGTCGCAACCGCGATATTTAGCCTAGTGACTTGCTGACTGAATTCCACCACGTCCATAGGTTCTGCCTTTCCTTGTGCGTTAAAACTAATTTTTAAACACGTTTAACCAGAAGGTAGGAAGTGAGGTTCGGATATGGTTCCCGGGTGGCCCTCGCCCTCTTATCTTCATATGGACATGTGGAATGGCGATACTTTCGACCCGCAGAGTTCTTTTGTGGGGAAAAAAAGGGGGGGGGGGAAGGGGGGGGCGAAATTCTCCGGGCGTCACTATCAAACCCTATGCCCTATTTCTTTCAGTTCTTCTGATCTTTGTTTCGTTAGGGACTTGTGTCCATTCTTATTCTTTTTTTAAATTTTTTTTAGCTGTAGGTGGGATGTACACAATATAATTAAATATTATTTTTTTGTTGTACTAATGACGAAAATTTGAATTCGTACTCTATCTAATTATTAAAGCTTAACATGTATTTTTTTATTCACATTAATTATTTGTTTCTCATTAATCAAACCCTAGCTAAGTGTTTCCCAACCCTTTTAATGCCCTACACCCGACCTTATCACCTAAAAAGGTTTACCCCCCCCCCCTTTTTTTTTTTTACACACACACAAAAAGCGGAATAAAAATTTAATTAAAAAAAAAACAAACTGGTCTGCACGCTGGCGTAAATGTAAAGAAGATGGATTTTCATCTTTGATACCATTTCAGGCCTTGAGATTCACCATATTAGGATAAAACGAATAAGTGAAATATGGTTGTATTGCTAATTCCCATATATTGCAAACAATAAAGGTGTTTATGTTTTTAAAAATAAAAATAGCATGTTTTAACATTGCCAATGCATCCGCCCTTTTGAATATCAAATAAATTTCCCAAAGTGTTATATCTTGAGTCGATTTGAATTACTTCCCATGCAGTGACATAACTCAGTAAGTCTTGATTTTGTCTTACAAACCCAAGAATAAAATTTTAAATAGTTTTTTAATCCCAACCTTTCACTTCTGGTACCCGGTTACCAATGTTTCTTTCAGAAATTTCCCCGGGGGGGGGGG